TTAAGATGCTCCAATTAATTCAAAACGCTACAGCACGAGTACTGACAGGAACTAGGAAAAGAGATCACATCTCTCCTGTTCTAGCTTCTCTGCATGGGCTCCCTGTTAAATTTAGAATAGAGCAGGTCTAGACCATACTCCTTTAAAATTATTTACAGAGACCCAATAGTTCCCACCATGAGCAAGCAATGCAAGCAAGCAGTGCTGATGAAATACATGCCGACGAGTCAAACATGCATAGCCTATGAGCACAGCTGAACTCGCAGTACGTCATCGTTTTGAACATGAAGAAAGTGAATTATTAGAAACAAATAATTTCTAAAGTAGAACATGGACAGCAGAAGAAAGAAGGAAAAGAGAAGAAGTACAGTAACTTAACCTTGGACCATCCACTGAATTCTTTTAGGGCTTTCTTTATTTTGTCTTGCCTTTTTTCTTATGCTCCCATGACATCAATTAAAATATCCATATTTTTATTTTACAGTTTCCTTGTTAGTTTACTTGTTCCATTTTTTCAGTACTATAACCTGGAAGTATGCACAAAATGTTAATTACTTCTTCATAAGAAGCAGACGTATGGTGAGATCGCTGAAATAAGCTTTTAAACATTAGCAGTGAATGGAATCTGTATTATTGAATATTATCAGTATTTGTTTGCCAATTAAAAGGGGTTTTTGTTTTCTTGGTGACAGTGTTTTACAGAAGATAAAAGAGGGGGAAAGGCAGATCAGATGCAGCTAATTGTAGCTCTCCTATTTGTATGGCCTTGGATTCGTGTACAATACACCAAGCCCCACTGTATTATAATCCTTTCACACAAACCTAATCACATCTAATATCACCATATAAAAATAAAGCTCTTAAATCTCATAAGATGCTCAGTGCAATGCAGCGGTACAAAAACATAGGTACAAAAGACATCAGATCTCACAGTGCATTCTTGGAGACATAACAGAAGCTTTTATGAATCAAGGTGCAGGGCACAAAGCACACTACAGAGTCAAAACAGAGTACAGTTTTCTACCATTATGTAACCCAGGTTAAAAGTTTAAAATAAACTATGAATAATAATAATAACATAATAAAATAACCTGTGAATAATGTAATAATATAAAAAAAATATATATAGCGAATCTAAATCTCAAATGACGAGGCAACACATAAATATCTGGGTCAGACGACTTACCTGGACAGTGGCATGCTATGGCAACTCCAAACACATTAGATTGCTAAATATATATTCTTTTATTATCTATGTAGTATTTTAAATGTCTCACATTTGCATTATGTTGGTATGTCAGTATTTATTTACGTTATAGGCGCTAGTAACAATACAAAACTTACATTCTAAAACTGCTTATTTAAGGTAGTTAGAAAAGAGTGAGTTATTGTGATGTATTCTGTATGTTAAACCTTTGAGGGCTTTTCATTTCAGCCCATCATGTATTTAAGTTAAGGATTTGATTTATAATTTAATTGTTTTTAGCCTTTAGTGTAAAGGTGTATTTAATTAGAAATATATATTTTT